TGAGCATAGCTTCAGCAGTGTTGGGATTAATATCTCTAAAATTTTTATCCTATTTTGGTCAATATCTTTTTAGTTATTTTTATTTCTATTATATATTTTGAAAAGAAAAATGGAAAGAAAAATTCTACCATACTTAGAGTTGAAAGTAATATTTAATAATGATTTTAAAAATTTTAACTTACCTTATTGGAATTCCAATATCCTTTTCAAGAAGTTCACTTTTAACAGTAAATCCAATCTGATCAACACCAATATTTTCTTCTCGGGCATATTCAATGGCCGCATCCATACAATATTGAAAAATACCTAAATATCGATATTTCAGATTGAAATTTAATTCCGAAAAACAAATTTTATTATACCAGCTAGTAATCCTTCTGGGTCGGAAGGGATTTCTTTTATTTGAAAGGTTGTTCGTGATTTCGTTAGCTTGAATTTATTACTACGATCAATATCGTGGCCTAATTTTTCCACGTAATCTTCAGGTTTTTCTGATACACCTTGGCCGATTTGGGTAGAATCATCATTTTGAGATAGTGCTAGAAGATTTTCGACGTTAAAATTTTGAGAATTTCTAGTAGATGTTGAAATAGGATTATTCGAAATTAGGTTCTCTATAGTAAATTGACGAGAACGCTTTGTTGGTGGACCATGCGAACTCGAATCATTGCGAGAACGTTTACGAATATTTTCCATTTTAATATAGAACTTTTACTAAAAATTTTTAAAAATAAATATTTATAAAATTTTTGATAAACTAAAAATAAAAATAAATTTTTAAGATATTCAAATAATAGGCGGAGTTTGGTGGACTTTGATATCTATTTAATGGGCGGTGTTTGGTAGATTTTCGAAAATTTTATCTCCTTACAGAATTACCAAATTCATTTTTAAATTTTTCATATTAATTTAAATACTTTATAAAATTAATATTTTTTGTTAATATTTAATAAATTTATTTAATGTCTCTCAATTTTGCTATGGAGCAAGAGAGATTTTTAAAAATTTTCAAAAATTTTATAAAATTTATATTTTAACAGAAAATATATTATTTTTTAAATTTATTTAATGTCTCTCAATTTTAATATGAAGGAAGAGGAAGCAATAAAGGGACTCTCGGTTGTAGAATAAATAAAAATTTGAATAATTGAGATTTTTAGGGAATGTCTCTCGATAAGGAAAAGGAGGAAGGAGTAATAAAGAGAATCACGGTTATTGTATAAAATAATAAATTTGATTAATTGAGATTTTTAGGGGATATGCTTGTACCAACCGTCTGTTAAATACTCGTATATAGAAGCAATAAATAATGCCATCAAGATGAATGAAATTTTGGATAAGAGAGGACTGGTTAGCTTCCTCACACACTACTTTAAAACAAACAGATGGTGCGAAACTTGTTTGAAAATTGTTTTGACCTACAAGTCGTGTGAGTTGATTTTTCCACGCGATGACAACTCATTTGTTTTCGAATTTTATCTGTGTTCGGACTGTGTGAAAATTATACCTCACTACTCCGAATATGTGATTCACTTTTACCCATTTTAAAGTATGAATTCATTTAATAATTTTATTCAACAATTTTTTTACAAATATATCTGGATAAATAGTTGTGTCTAATAAATTGAGATATTGTTTGAAGGTCATTCCCTTAGAAATAAAATATATAAGTCCGATACAATGGTGAGCACACGTGTTTGAGGAAAATGATTGATAGGGGTTTACATTTCTAACAATTTTTGAAAAATATTTGAGAAAAGGGTTAATTATGCATATGCTAGTAGGTAGTGAGAGACTGTCAAAGTACATTACTTCTTTGCTTCCTTTCTTGAAAAGAATAACCACCCAATGAGATCCTTCAAAATCATGAGGATCCAAGTTTACTACTAATGCATTATAAATTGTTTTTATCGATGCAGAGTTTGGGAGACGGTCACACGGGAAGCAACCTCGAAATATTTTGTTTGTTTGAGGATTCGACTTTAATATATGGGTAATTTGATGGCTGTTCATTTCTTAATATAAAAATTTAATTGACTTTTCTTAAATAAATTACCTTTTTCCTAAATTTTCAAGTTCCACTCTTTCTAATTCACTATCCTTATTTTTAAGTGGAAGCACAAGTTTAAACCAAAAGATTGAACGTAACTGGTAAATTATGAGACTAATTATAAAGAGAATATATAAACATATCATCCCCCAACAAAAAATGTGTCCTAACAAACTATCATCTGCTGGTTTTTCTTTACAAAGTTGTATTTGGGGAAAATAACCAAAAGGGTTCTTATCCATTTCTAAATTCTGATGCAAAAATGGGGCCTGCGCTCCTAGTACAATAGGTTTTAAAGTGGTTTGACTTAATTGTTTTATGTATTCGGAATATTCTGGTAAATCATGTAAATAATCCGTTGTTTGAACACATGGAGTAAAAATTCTAATTAAAAGAATTATAATAGATATTTTATTCATTTTTTGAAAAAATTTTACAACTGTGAAAATTATGAAAATTAAATTATTTAAATAGTTGTATCACTGGCTATCGTTCGATTCTTGTCTAGCATTATAAGTGAATCTACCTCCCCCATAACCACTAACATTACACCACCATCTGGAACAGCATTACTAAATTTTATATTCACTGCTGTTGTTCCATTTTTTATTAAATCAAATGTCCCGGCATTATCTTCTCCACTATTTGTTAAGTTAAAAACGTAAATACAATGTGTTTTTCCAAATTGATTATAAGTTATTCCATTTCCTTCTGAAGAGTTTGAAAATCCTATAGCATCATTCATATCATTAAACCCTCTCACATATTTTTCTTTACTATAATCAAAATCATAAGGCGCCTGGGGGTAGCTGCGTCCGTTAGCTATTATACTGATTTCTCTCACATCAAAGGGTTGAAAATTAAAAGGACTGCGGGTTAACGATCCTACATAATCTGAGTTTGCAACTAGACCAAGAGTAACTCGTCGTGGAATTTGGTCCATAAAAAGATTGGCGTTGAATTCGTAGCGGCCTTGACTGATGAATAAAGGTTTCATCATAGTTTTCCTTATTGAATATCGAGCTGGTTTTAATTCTAGTCTTTTAGCTATATCAAGAGATAAACTATCCATTATATCAACTTTTTTGACATATAACTTGCAACTAATCACTTCAAAATTATATATTTTTTGGTTTTCTTCGTTTGTTGGTGCTACTACAACAAACTTTGTATCATTTGGTAAAATTTCAATATCTATTTCACACTGATTTATAAGGTAAAGCGGTTGATTAAAAATGTCCGCATCTAACTTTGCCATAAACTGAGCTGTCTTACTATAAGAAAATAGGCTTTTCCTCTCATTATGTCCTTTACCTCCCTCTAAATCTGTAGATTGATCATAATAATATCCAGCAGAATTAAGATGTGAAGTCTTAGCATTTTGGGAATATGATAATTCGTGAGAAAAATATGTTTTATATGCGTATAGTGAATTTGCATTGAAAACTTCCCTACCATTAATACTTACACGCATATTATTGATAAATGTTTGTCCTATTAATTGAATAGGAGCTACATTATCCGTTGCTTCCAATTTTTTTAATTTTCCATCTTGGTCCTCTTTTTTTATTCGAAATTCCGTAAAAATATAACATTTGGATAAATCGATATAATTTTGACTAGAATGGATTTTAAAATGGTATGGTGTATCTGTAAGGGGATTACTGGTTAAAATCTCAAAAGTTTTTGAAGAAGAAATACTGACATTTGTTGGAGGGACTTGGAAAAAATCCAAAGCATTTGTTATTGAATTGATACTATCACTATCTATTTTATGAAATGCCATTTTTTAATATAATCCAAATGCGTCTGAACGTAATCTTTTCTTCAATGGTTTACCAATAATTGTCTGATAATTGGGTATTTTCTTTTTAATTTTCCTTTCTATACCAGAACCAAATTGTTTTGGAAGACCTCCTCTTTCAAAAATTGTATCAATTCCTTTCTTGCCTTCGCTAATAAAAGCTTCTTTTATTGGTTCGCCTTGACTAACTTTTTCTAATACTCGTTGACCTGTATTTATCGCTTCTTCTTTAACACTGCTTCCAACTTTACGCATTATAGGGAGAAAGAAACGCCACAATCCGCGCATAACATCTCCTACACCCGCGCCTCTTTGCCCATACCCTCTTTGAAAAGGTGCTGCTCCTTTAAAATATAAATTTTCACTTTCTAGTCCACTACCTTTCTGATCATGACTAACAAAGTCATCATAACCTATTGTACTAGTATCGAATATAACATGAACCATTATTTTTTATTAATGAATTTTAAGAATATAATTGAGGTTGAATTTTAAAAATATAATTAAAGATGAAAAATTAAAAATTAATCACTTTCTTAAATATCAAAACGATGAGCACTGTTCCGTAAGAAAAAGGAACAAAGCGTCCATTATCCATTGTTCTTAGCTCAATTTCAATTTCATTAACTTCCCTGGGGAGAACCTTTGCGTAAATCGGTGTGTCATAAATATTCTCATTGTAATCGCCTGGAGTTGCTCCTGCTACTGAAACAACACGTAGTAATGAGCTCAATGTATTTCCTATAATCACATTTTCTGTAAGTCCTTTGGTATAAACTGCAAAACTTGAAAATCCACCCTTCAAGTCACATCCGTATTTTGCTATTTCATTGTTATGGACCATAAGAGGATTTTCGAAACCAAGAACATATCCAAGTTGAGGTGAAAATGATATGTATTTAATAGCTGGGTGGTTCAATGTAACTTTGAACCGATCAAAATCATTGAGAAAATTGATTGTAACAGAGTCTATTATTTTTTTCTTCATAGTATCATCTAATTTACCAATTTTTCCATACTGCCTTATGAGAGCCGGCATATTTTCCCTATAATTTTCTCTTATAGCTTTTGTTGGCTTTCTCTTTATTATCATAGTTAAAATTCGTTCCATCTCTTCTGTCCACATAGGATCTCTATATTCTCCTTTTAGTGCTTCAGGCTTTGGTAAATCAGGAAGCGGAGAAGTAGTCGGGGGATTAATGGGCGAAGGTGGACGTAGTTCTTTAGGAGAAGGGGAGCTAGGATTTTTCTGTGGCTTAGAAATAGATGAATATTGATTTTCATCAGCTGTGGAAATTTTGCGTGGAGGTGACAAAAGTCGTTCTTGAACTGGAGGAAGTGGTGGAAAAGGTTGTTGAGCTGGAGGAAGTGGTGGAGAAGGTTGCAGAGCTGGAGTAACAGGTCTAATATCTTCTTTAGTTGGAGGAGGTGTAACAGATTGAGATTCCTCAAGAGAAATTTGTGGCAAAACGGGAGATAATGGTTTTTGTTGAATGATGGGTTTAGTTTGAGGGAGAGATTGAGGCAATGTGTTGCGAGTAGGTAATGGAGGAGCCCAAAATATCTTTTCTTCTTTGTACCTATCAATACCCTCATATTCTAGAGCTATAAATCTGTCTCTTCTATAACCGGCTAATTTAGAGAGATTATCAATTTTCGTTTGCAATTCCTTTTTCTCTTCATCATTTGAATTATTGTAAGCTGATTTTGTTTCATTGATCTCTTGATATAAATCTAATAAACTGCTAAAATTATTTTGTATTGAGGGCCAATATTCTGCACTGCTTTTATTAAGAAAGAACTCGTCAACAAACACTGAATTGTATTCCCTATTCTCATCCAATGATTTTTGCCTCTCTCTTCTTATTACCTCACCTTGGAGTATTCTTAATCTGGTTATCATCTTTTCAATCTCAATTTTGCGTTTATGAAATTTCGGGTCCGATTCTCCTTTCTTCTCATTTTCAATTATATGACCTATTAATTTGTAATGCTCTTCGGCTAGATTTTCATTGTAATTGTCGGGGAAAATTTCAAAATACTCATCAATAACATCACCGTAAAAGGGAGTTTTCTCAAGATCTCGTCTCCTTGCTTCAACTGAAAGTTTTTCTATGCGTGCTCTTTCCAAATTCTGTTTACTATCTAGATATGCAAGAACTTTTACATATTCACTTTTTTTGGATTCATCTGGTTCACGATTAGTTATACCTCTAAATCTGTCTATTTTCTTTTGCTCTTCGTCAAAAGTGACCCTTAGCTCGCGTAATTTTTCCCAATAATCGTCTGGATTATCAATAAATATATCATCTGTTACTGGGCGAATTTTTTCTTTGATATTTTTTTCGGCATCTATCGATCGTTTCTTTGGTGCTCTTACTGTAGGTCTATCAACTAATTCTTCTGGTCTTTCTAAAGGTGAAGCATCAAATGCGTCTCTTTGTTGAATTAATGTTGATACTAAGAAACTATGAAGCTCTTCAATTGTTTTGTGTGAACCAGGTGGAACGGGAATTCTAAGAACTTTGGCATTTCCTTCACTAGCTGTAAAATGTACGTCTATCCATTGATCATCTAAAGTTCCTATAGTTGATGGCCACGAGTAAGGATAATTTATACTATGTAATCCGCATACCCAGTTTCCTGAGAAGTATAGTGGTTTAGGTAAGTGGACTCTGAATTTGTTTGGTCGATTATCTGGATAATCTGGGACATTACTAGGAAGAAACACAAAAAATGTATTTGACATTTTTATCTAAAATATTGAAATGTTTACAAATGAATATAAATCGATCTTTTATACTAATTGATTTTCTTGTATCCATTCTTTTTCCGGGTATCCAATAAATTTGACCAAGAGTTCATATGTTCCTTCTGGTGTTTTTCTTTTCCTAAAAACTTTTTCAATCCGATATTCTGTGTCAGCATCCTTGCGAACTTTTGAAAGTTCTTCACTATAGAATGAACCTTTAAATTTTTCACCTTTACCATCGCGCAATTTGTATTTTACGGGTCTCGATTCTTCTTTAACTTTATCGACTGTTAATATTTCATCCCCCCAGTTTGGTATATATCCTTTTTCAAAGACCCCTTTTCCCACAGCCATACGTACAAAATCTTCTTTTTTCAACTTAGGTTTTTTACTTCCTTTAAGAATTCTTTTCTTTGTTAAAAGTTCATCTTTCCCATATATTTTCTCCCATACTTCCTGCGCATTCTCGAAATTAACGTCTATAGGCCGCATTCCGTGAACTCTGCTTTTTGATTTATTAATACCTTCGAGAATTTTTTGAATTACATCCACCCAGTTTAATGTTTTATACTGGGAAAAATATCTATAAAGGCGCTGCTTCACATTACGAATTGCCCTTTCAGCTAGTGAAGCTTTGACTATAGAGTGAGTAGCTTCAAGTTTTTGAATATCCTCTTTCTCAAAAAATTCCTTCATTTGATTATTTTTAAATTCTGTTCCCTTATCCGAAAAAATTCTGTGTGGTTTCATAGGCATTTGGCTAATTAGTTCCTTAATACTTTCCATCATTTCATCCATTTTCTTAGATTTTACGGGAATACCAAAAACTCTTTTTGAAAGTACATCAATGCCTAGTAGTAAATATCTATACCCTTTATTATGTCTTGATAATTGTTGAAAGTCTGCTAGGTCAATCTGAACATCTGTCATAAAACCTGAAGCCACTGTTTTTGATCTTTTAAAATGTACACGTTTGGGACGCATAAGTGTATAGGTTCTATGTCCTTGTAGATAATCCTCAACTACTCTTTTGGGAATATTTTTCGAAACTTTCCGAGCCTCATGCCATAGTCTATCTACTCCTGAAAATGCTGCAGGCGAATCCGGATCATTATAGAGATTGTGTAGTAATTTTTTAATATCTACCATTTTTACTTCCACACGACTGGTTTAAATCTATTTATAGGCTTTGGTCTTCTAGTTGATGGTTTCCTCTGGGCCCATCTAACTGTATTTAACCTCTTAGGGGTTGAACTGACTGGTTTTCTAATAATTTGCTTTGTTTCATCTTTAGGTATTTTGTATTCTTGTGGTAATGACACAGATGGTTTGACATTTACAGAGGTGGGGGCTGAGGGTGTATGATATGAAGGTGAAGAAAAATCATGGGTCCACATATCATCCTCATCTGTTATACTTGTAGCAGGGCGAGCTGCAATGCCTTTTGAACTAGTAACCATTTCTACTTTTACAGGTCTATTTTGTCTTTCATTTCTCATTTGTAAATACCGTCTTAACTCTTGATTGTATTTAATATTTTTACTAATTGAATTTTCCTTTGACTTTTTTGATTTCTCTACATCTCTTCTAACAAAATCTAGGTTTGGTTCTCCTGTGTCCTGACTAGTAAGTCCCCGATAAATTTCCTCTGGAACAAGAATAAATTTGTTCGCCATTAAAAATTTTTTTAATTTGTTCCTTTTATATTTCCAATTGATCGTGCCAGTTCCATAAGAACCGGGGTAATAAGTGCAGCGAAAACACCAATCCCTGTACCTTTTTGTCGCAATATTTGCCTTGCCCCTCTTTCACTTCTTGCCCGACTCATTTGGCGAACAAAATTAATATGTGGCATTAATCTTTTCTTTTGGCGTGCATTTAATTGTAGTCGCGATTTTACAACGTTTAAACAAATTTCTGCTATTGCCAATAATTGATTTGTATTTGATAATTTTACAAGTCTCCTTTTCTTTTTTTCTGACTTTGTTTTTGCCAATTCTTTTAAAAAATCAACATTTTCCTGAATAAGTTGGCTGACCATATTTATACGCCGTTTTTTGGAATAAAAATATTTTTTTCTTCGTCTTCCTTAAATATATTCGTACGAAGCCTCAACCCCGGATCAGATGAAGCATGCATATCGATTAGTAAATATCCATAAGGAACATTAGTTGCCTGTCTATATGCGTCTAAAAAGTAATCCAATTTCCTAGGAAAAAGCTGTACTCCTATATTTCTAACAGATAGAGCTGAATTGGGGGAGCGCATAATAATTATGTATTGAGCATTCTGTCTAGCCACTTTAATTTTTTTCTCAAATAAATTTTGTGTGACAAAAATAACCGCAAAGTTCTGATGGTGGGATTTTTTAGTGAATAATTCCGATAGATATTTTTCATCAATAGATAGTAATAAATCATCTAAAATCAATAAAAAAGGTTTTGGAAATTTTTTTAGTACTTCCTCTGTTGGCACTCCTGCTAAAACATGTACACCTGATCTTTGAAGTACAGGGACAATTGAACTCATCTCACCAAAACAATAAACTATACTCTTAGGCTTAGGATCTATTAACTCTTCTGCTTCTGCTATAATTTTTAATAATAAAGTACTCTTCCCACTTGAACTAGGTCCCGAAATAATCATTCCGAAAGGCATTTTAAATTTTAATTCTTTATTTGTAAATGTTAATGATTCCATTTTAATATTTAGCAAATTAGAAAAATTATCCTTAATTAACAATTTATAGTACGGATTATGATTGTGTCACTTTATTATTCACATACAAAGAATTAATTGCTTCCATTTCCTCCTCTTCCATCTTTATTGCCTGAGACTTCAGTTCTTGAACCTTTTGAACATTAGCAGGCAGACCTGTCGTGGCAGCTGCAAGACTTTGATAGAAGTCATTCAACATTTTTGCATTTTCAGCTTCTGGGGTAAGCTGGGGAAGAATAGTTGGCTGAGGAGGTGGTAAGGGTGGAATCGGAATTTGTGATATTGGGGGAGGTGATGGAAGTAGTGGTTGAGGTATTGGAGGCGGTGAAGGAAGAGGTATTTGAGAAGCTGGTGGAGCAGGAGCAAGAATGTGCTTCTTAGGTGGTGAGGGTTGCGGTAATTCATGTGTAATTTTTTGTAACCCGTAAGGAACATTGTAAACCCTTCCTTTGTTCTTGACCTAAATTTTTGGAACATATTTTAATATTTCAAAAGATTAATACCTTAAAGAAACAATGACCAGGAAGATCATAAACTGTGTCAAAAGGAATGAAACGATTTCCACCGATCCGTGTGCAATAAATTGTGACCCCGTCTTTGGTCACAATAAAATCCAATTCGACCTCTGTGCTTCGACACTCACGACAACGTCCTCCTTGATCATAGGGGATAAATCTTGGGGAAGAAAGTCGCGAACTTGAAATAGTTACACCATTCCAGGCAAGATTAAATTCTGCCTCTGGAAGTATTTGTGTTGAGAGGTACTTTTTATCATTCATGTTTAAGGCCATTTTTAATTTTTAAATAATTTGTACAAATTTTCTGACTATATATACCCCTCTATGATAGATTAGCCCCGCCCCTTTAATTAGAAAATTTTACAATTCGTATTTTACCAAAACAATCATTTTCTTTTTTAATAATTTATTTTAAATATTTTCTCTATTTGAAAATTTTTTATTAATTTTATTTAAAAAATCATTAATTTTCAACTAATTTATTAAGACGGTCCCTCAAATGTATTTTTTCTCTTTCTCATATTACAATAATTTTTCCACTCTTGAATATATTCATTGAAAGATCCATTCATATACCTAAAATAAAATAAAAGTAATTAGTCCTCCGAGGCCGACCGGATAAGATCCCTGCCTACTCTAATTCATATTTAAAAGTACAGGTCAAAGGTTCGAGATCGGTCCGAGGATAAGATTTTTATTTAAATTACTCTGTATTCTCTGGAATAATAATATATCACATATATTTACACCCCATAAAAGATAAAATAATTGTTTATTCGGGATATACTTAATACGAATTTAAAACAAGAGGAATTGAGAAAAATAGCAAATTAAATACAGTTAGTCGATAAATAAGTTTTATTTAATGGAAACAATTAATAGAAGTTAGTGAACCAATTAATAAGTAGGTGAACGAACCAATTAATCCTTTCAAAAAACAAGTAGTCAATTAATAGTACTGAAACAATTAGTCAATTAATTATCAGGATTTTTGGGGGACCCTTTTGTCGGCGGGTCCTTTTGAGGGCGGGAGGACTTTGAGTAACAAACTTGGTTCACTAACTACTTCAAATCTTATGTCCTAAACTAATAAGGCAGATTTGAACTTTATCGCTTTAGGAGGACATGTTATATTCTGTTTCTTTAAGTCTCAAATCTTATGTCCTAAACTAATAAGGCAGATTTGAACTTTATCGCTTTAGGAGGACATGTTATATGACTGAAGCTATAAATGACAAGTCTAAACTAAAACGAGATTAAGTGGTATAAGTAGAGTTATATGATTACTATGTTGCTAACTTGTGCATAAACAATTAATTTTCACACAATCTTTTTTTGAGAATTAGCAAAGAATTTTTGAAAGAAAATTTACGATTATTGAAATATATATTATCTCAAAATTTATTTTTTTCTTTTAATTCGCTCAATTAGAAATGCCAGAAAATAAATTCTTTTAAAAATAATTAGAGGACCAAAAATTAAAAAATAAGAAAATGAATTTTTTTTGTACATATTTAGCGCTAACTTGATTCACATGTGTTTTTGGTAAAAACGTTAACTGCAGATTTAATTGTTCTCCGTATATAATTTATCAATGCAATGCATTGATATTCAAAAATATCATGAGTAGATGAATTATGAGGTTTTCGCATATTTGCTCGTAAATTATAAAAGCTAATGTAAAGATAATTTAAATATTTAATATTAAGTAAAATTCTGTGTTAAAATTTTTTTTTGAGTTATTTTAGCTATCAGAAAATTTTCTCCTTCTCGAGCGGATAAGAAAAATATATATATAAGGTCAATGCCTTATCAAATCTCTGGTAGAAAATTTTTCAGCTATCTTCTAGCAAATTTCAAGGGCTTTCAAATAATCCTATTGTGAAATTTCAAAATATATAAAGGGTCTGAAATATTTTTAAAATGCTTTATCTTATTTTACCCCAGTTTTGAGAGTATCGAGATCTCGATATGCAAAAGAGTGTGCATATAAATTTTAACACATTTTTGAGGAAGCTGCTAGTTTTTACTAATTTTACCAATGTCTTTATTATAAAACCTAGCAAAAAATCATTGAGAAAAATACATAAAATTTTTGGAAAATTAAGTTGAAAATTTTATTTATGAGAAAAAAAACTGTTAACCAAATGTTAACCACAATATGAATTTTACTTAATATAATTTATTTGATTTTTATTTTATTAAAGTTAAATTTTAGGATTTGCATAGAGTCTCGTTTTTTTATGGTGTTGTGTATGTATTTTTGAATGTCAATGAAATTCATTGATAAATTATTTTGAAAGCTCATTTTCTTGCTTAAACTTAAAATAAAAGTAGTCAAACTACGTGATATTTCACCCGATAATTTTTCTTTAGATATTGGAGTGTTACTTTTACACGTTTAAAATTTTTTAGTCAACGTATAATCCTCCTCTCAAGCATTTTTAAATTCCTTACTATTGGAGATTATTTTGAATGAATAATAAAAGCTTAAAATTTTTTTGAAAAAAATTCAGAGAAACGAGACAGAAAATAAAATTTAAGCAAATCGGAACATTTTTAAATTTTTTTGACTTAAAAATGATACTATTTAACGATTTCCTGTACCTAAAGCGGCATGTTCTAATTCTAGATCAACCTCCCTCACAATCAAGTTTAAGTTGTCAGTGAAAACCACCGACTTCAAAAATAAAT